TACCTTGTACAAGTCATATGTAATGCATTGACCAAAAACACAATAAAGGCAGTAGCTACCGATAACATCGGCTTTAACAAAAAAAAAAAAAAAAAAAAAAAATTAAATTTATAAATGAACCTATTTGCATTTATATCAAATAAATATATAATTAAAATAAAATTATAAAAAATTGTAGAATTTTAAAAATATATCTATAAGTTAAATAATAAAAAATCTAATTTGTTTAAATATAGCTCACCTTATTATAGAAACTTTTAATATAATAAAGAATTTTAAATTGCAGATTATAAAAATATATCTAGTATTTTCAAGTCTAGTATTTTGAAGTCTAGTATTTTGTAGTCTAGTATTTTTAAGTCTAGTATTTTTTAATATAACTTTACTATAATATGAATGCATTATTGTTTATTATTTTTTTTGTATTTTTATCTTTATTTTTTGTTGAAATATAAATATTAATGAATAAAAAAAAATTATATATATTTAATTTTTGTACAATAAACTTACAGTTCTTATAGTAAAAACTAGAATCAACAGTTTACATTACAATAACAATAAAGAAATCATTATATAATATCAGTGGTTTCTGTAAATAGATGTATTAAATTAGGAACCTAATTAACAGTTATATATTATATAATTCTGTACTAAAGACTAAAAATTGATTATATTACTATAAATATATACTGTGTCATATTATTTCAAATTTTATACAATACAGTACAAAATTATCTTTAAATTTATATGTATCTTCATACTATATTATATATATCAATTTAAAATTTATAAAGTACTGTAATAAATATCTTTCATACATATAGCACACTATATATGTATATTTATATAGAAATTTTATATATGTAAAAATCATAATAGCATATATAATTTATAAAAAAAATATTTTGAAAAAAGTTAATTTTCCTATAAACTTATATAAAAAAAAGAACAATGCTCATATTTGCTCTAACTCTAAATATAAAAAAAAAGGTTTATTTGTAAAGAATTAGGTCTCCTCTTTCAATTAACATGAATATGATTCATCACATCTCTTTGTCAAACAGATAATAGACTTATTAAAATTAATTTTACAAACTTATATTAACTGTACCTACTATCAAATTTTACTCAATTTTCATATATTCATACATATTTATACAATTATACAGTACTATGTTACAGGTACCATACCTAAAGTTAGAAATTAGCATTATGCAAGCTGACCGAAATTATACTAACTGGTCACAATCATGCTAGCTAGTCTGAATTCTAAAAGTCATATTGCACAGTCTTTCAAAAGTTCTGCTACATATAGTACATAGTGTACTGTATATATAGCATATCACTATACATGCCCAATGATGCAACTAATATATTTATTAAATGAAATACTGATACTCTTCACATCTTCCGTTCCTGATTTTGCATAACAATGTTGTGCAGCTATCTTATATTATATATACTTTAATATTAATGATTTTTTGAATTTAAAACACAGACTTCGATTGCACATAAGTCTGTCTTAAATATTATTCAAAATGTAAGCTTTATGTCTTACCAAGAAATTTTCTTGCAAGATTTTTAGTCTAACTGCATTGCTCGATCTTCTTTCTTATAGTGCTTTAAAAATGATAAATTTTAATGAAAGCTTAGTTTTAGATGCAAAATTTTGTGCTCTTCTTTGTATTACCTTAAACTTTGTATATATATTTAAGATGACAAGCAATATTCAGAAAAGTTTCTAAATTACTAAGCTTTTAAGTTTATAAATTATGTATCATATTAAAAAAAAAGGGTGGGTTTTTATTATTCCTCATATATTCAACTTTCCATTTCAATCTGAATACAAGAGCAAACCTTTTATTTATTTATTTGGTTTATTTACTTTATTTTGCATCTGATTAGTTATCTATAAATTATTCCATTATCTATAATACCATTGTTAATTATTCTTGTATTGAGCTACCTCATTATTATCATTAATTAAGGATTATGATCATCCAAATGCTCCTAAAGGGTTGAGTTAATTCAGGTAACCCTAATTAAAAATCTGATTTTGAGACCCATTATGTCAACTTATTTATAGTGATAGTGTTTTTTAAATTAGTGTAGCCATTAAATTTCATACATCATACATCAGCATAGTGGGCTTTATTAGGATTGGAAGATCATCATAATAAAGTCTGATTACTGAATTTTGGTCTAACTATATGTTTATAATATGAAATATAAGCATATTTTAATATATATTAGAGTTTTTAACAACTTGGAGGTCCTAATTTCTCCCACCACTTCTGATTGGCATAATAAATATTGTCTCTGATTGGGTGAAGTAATTACATAGTACTTTGTATTGTCAAAAATATAAAAAAAAATAATAATAAAATAAATAAATAATAGAAATTAAAAAAAGGAAAAAATAAAAATAAACCAATAAAATAAAATAAAAGAAAAAATTGCCATTATTTTAGTGCATATAAGTTACAATGATTTGAATAATAATTTTGATTTTTCATAAACAAAAGTTTTATATTTACATAGTTTTATTGGCGCATATAAAATAATCAGAATTTTTCATAAACAAAGGTTTAACAATAATGCACAAACACTTAATCTTTAGTAAATTTTATATTGAAATAGTAAACAAAGTACATCAAGATATTTATACATCTTAGTTACTAAAGGTTTTAAGCTTTTATTATAATAATTCACTTACAAATCTTTACTTAAATACATGTGCATATATAGGAAAAAAAAAATAAATTAATACTTATTTTGTCTTATGATTTTTGTATTTGGTGCTATATGATAAATTGATTCATTGTCATTAGTAGCTTGAGTAACAGATTCTAACCTTGCGATTCTTGATCTTTTCATTTGGGTAGCTTACTGAAGGGTCATTTGAAGATTATAAATATCTTCTCCTTTCATATTTTTTCATTCATTAGCAATTGCAACAAGATCCTCTTGCAATTTTGCAAATTGAACCTCCTTATCATCATTATTTGTTTGATCTGCAAAAAAACAATTAGAACAATCAGATTCCAAAGATATTTGTTGATCATCTTTATCATAAACATAATTTTTTGCTAATACAGCAAACACATGTTTACATGGCAATTGTCATGATTTAAAGTTATAACAATTGCAAATATAAGAAGTAGTATTGAAATTATTATTATTATCACTTGTAACATCTTTCTTTCTAACTAAATACTCTATATCATCATTTGTCAAAGAATGTATTATTCACAAATTAGACTGAATATTAAAATGTTGTTACTATGTGTAGTCTTTACAATTTCTCTAATGCATTATTGCTGCAATTGTGAGCTTATCCTGCCTATTTTTAAGTTATTAAGAAAAACTGAAAAATTCATATCACAAAGTACAATATTCACAAGAAGATGCACTTTGCCATTGAGTTGTCTACCTGTAAAGATAAAAAAAAATTATTATTATTATAATTTATTTATTTATTTTATATATAAAACAATCTAAGCTTCACATGTCTTCAGATAAAATTAGTAAAAAAAATTAATCGAAATTGTTTTTATTTTTATTTATTTAATTAATTTTTTTTTTTTAATTAAAATTTTAACTTATTCTAATTTTACCTGAACACCCTCTTAAATAAGAATATTTTAGTTTATAATAAAATGATTCAATCAAATTATTAGTATCTATCATATCTCTAGAAATACCTCTCATACAAACCATCCACATATCATACTTTGACCATCACCAATGTTCAAAATAATTAGCAAAAGTATTTATTACTTCAGTACCTATTTCTCTCTATCGATCAATTGCTCCTGTAACCTGTGCTTAGGCTTCTGTATCATTCCATTCTTCTATTTTTAGAAGCCTCCAAAGATCTTTCTAAATTATTTCTTTTAGTGAAATATTATTTATACCATACTTGTGATAACTTTTGAGTTCAAGATCGCAAAACATGAAAGTGATACAAAAACATAGAACTATCAGAAAAACATTCTTGTGATGCTTTTATTTCTTCATCTGTATCATCTACTATAAAAATATCTAGTCGCTATTCCTTATTTTCAATTTTAAAAAATTGAACCATTCCTTTAACATTGATGTTTACCTAAATTTACTTATTAGAAATATGACTAGATATCCACTATCTGCAACTAGATGGTATATAATAAGTGTGAATAAATAATATCTATAATGATTCATCTTATGTGTTCTATTTAAACATACAACTCTTGCATGTTCTATTAATTCTCGCTGCTCTTTAGTTTGGAACATAAAAATGAAACCAATATTATCTACCTCATTCTGTTTTCTAAATATACAAACCCTATCCTTACTAATTATTTTATTCTTTCATATCTCTAAGGAATGGATTTCATCTTTATCAAAGTAGGCAGATGTTTTTATTATATTATAGATGATCATATAAATATCATCACACATTATTAATCCATTCCATAATATTTGTACATTATTCAAATAATCTTTAGAATTAATCTATAAAATAATTTATAAAAAAAATTAAATATATAAAAACAAAAAATTTTAATCAAATATTCAAACTGCACCTGAGAACCTCATTTTAACGCATAAATCTTTTTCTGAATAAAATTAGAGTTGTTATACTTAGAAAAGATTTGATATTAGAGTGAGGCACTCAGATACGATTAGAATAGTGCTTAATTAAAAAAAAATTTAAGTTAAAATTAAAAACAATAGAAATTAATAAAAAAAATAAATAAAATAGAAATAGAATAAAATAAATAAATAAAAAACAATAAATAAATTAATAAAAATTAATAATAAAACCTGCTCTTGTAATTCAATTGCCCGAAATTGCATAAATTTATGGATACTAAATACATCTAAACCTTCAAGTACATGCTGTTGAATGAATTGGCAAATATTATTTGAAAGAGACAGTGTATACAAATCTGAAAGTTGACCAGGCTAATGGTTGTGATATTTATAGTAATATTTTAAGGTAACCATTGATGAGTTAACAGGACATACAACAGAAATGTAACTTTTACACCCACATTTTTTAGTTTCTTTCTGTATTAAACATGATTTTTTATTGTGATTTTTTTCAGCAATGCTCTCATATTCCCTATAATGATGACAAAACCATCTTTCAGTCCACAAATTTTTTCTTTTTCCACCTATTTTAGTCTTATGATCATGTTTATTATAACTTAAGCCTATCTTCTTAAGGTTTTTAATCCATTCTGTATATTTATTTACTGATAAATGATATGTTTTAACTTTTTCTGCCTCAGATGTTTCTTCTAAATCATCATCAACAACCTCCCACACTTGACCAACTCCATCTGATGCATCTAGAATTGAGTCAAGTGTGTTATCAAGTTCATTATCACTGATATCCATATCAACTTCCTCTTCAATATCAAAAATATTATCTGGTGGAATTGACATATTAAACGAAAATAAACAACAAAGTGGTCTTATATATGTTTTTTATTTTTTTTTATTTTTTACTTTTTTTTATTTTTATTTTTTATTTATTATTATTATTATTGCAATAGCAAATTTATACAGTATAATAGATTTAGTAGAATTGGTAAAAAAAAATTATTTTTAATCAATCACGCGAGACTTTAAGAAATGTTAAATTGGAACGAATTGTTAAAGGTTAGTATTAAAAGACAGAAAGAATTATTTAAAAAAAAAATTTTAAAAATATGTAATTATTTCAAAAGCGATACTTGCAGCACATCAAGAGTATCTTTCTCCGCCCGATTGTCCAATGAAAGACAAGACTAGCATTCGTCCAATGGGAACTGGTGGGGGAAATTAGTAAACCCAACAACTTGTATAGCTTGGCTTAACTCTAAAAAACTATGTTTCCGGTTTAAACCATGGTTTTTGAGACATGACTTAAGCCATAGTTATTGCTGAAAGCATGACATTATGATAGCACCCTATAAAAAAAATTTTATTCAGAAGATATACATTGTATAGAAAATATATAGAAAGTTGTAGTTTTTGGTATTGTCACCATCGAATGGAAGAGCTTCCGACAACCATGCCGAGTTTAACTCCGATGGTTGACGTAAGAGAGATGCGATGCATGATGACAAATTATGGAATTCGGATTTTACAAGATTAGTAGGCATCTATTATATAAAAGAATGTAGATTTATGTATTCTTTATTTAGAGACGATTTCAGAGTGCATTCTTCCTTTTTGAGCTAAGGACAAGAGCAACCCTTTAAATACATTCTCATTTCTTATGAGGTCTATGCTAAGAATATAGCATCTGTGTTATAACTCTGAATCCCACATGCTTTCTTACGGGCAACTCATTTTATCAAGTTTATGCGAGAGCGTATACGCGACTAGGGGAAATTCACATAGGTTAAGCCACTAAGAAGACATAAGAATGCCTAATATTATAAAGGTAAGGCTAACTCTTGGCTATGACGATACATTTATGTGACAACTTAATGAATTAGACAAATATGGAAGTGAGAGACATAGGAAAAAATTATTAGTTACAGTATATTTACTGTACGTTTTATACTTTTACTATATACAGCTAAAAAAAATAAACTGTTGCAAGATTTGGCATGCTTTCTATATGTTTCTGTATATTTTTGTATTTTCTATATGTTTATTATATATTTGCTATATGGGCTTGGTGCTGCAAAAAGAGGATAAATTGACAAACAATAGGTTTCAGAAAACCAATTTTTATGTTATAAATTTTATAATAAATCAAAAGAAATTGCAAATTTTAAAGAGTTATATTGCATAATTTTACTAATATGGCTACTTTTGTGTTTTAGTAAAAAATGATCCTAATATTATTCTAAATTAATTTACGCAAAAAAGTTAGCCTTAAAAATTTGTTAATTTACCTCTTTTTGCAGCACCAAACCCATATGTTTTTTTTACATGATTTTTTTTGTAGTGCAGATTACATATGCTTGATGTAAAATTAAAGAGCCATAGTTTAAGCTGGGCCATTGCTAAGCTTGGCTCTAAACTATAGATCAAGCCACAGCTTAAGCTTTAGCTCAATGGCTTAGATCAGTTTAATTCCATCTAAAATTCGAATGTGCGGATCCAATCAATTACGTGATTTCCAGAAATCAAACAATTTGATTGGATTCGCACATCGAATTTAGACAGATTATGCTCATAGGCAGAAGTTTGTTTGATTGGCTAATAAATACAATTTAATTTTTAGAGTTACTTTTTTTAAAAAAAACCGAAAACTAATCATTATGAAATAAAAAAAGCTGGATAAAATGTTTCATAAAAGCTGTAAGACTCAGCCAAAAATAAGACCGAATTCTCGTCCGTTTAAGAAAGTTAGTATAGTAATAACTTCTCAAAAACAAATAAAATAAACTTATTATTAAGCTGATTTTTTTAACGGACGAAAATTAGATCTTATTTTTGACTATAGAATGTCCTACAGCTCTAATGAAACCTTCAATATGGTTTTTTTCCTTTATGATGGTTGGTTTTCTAAATTTTATAAGTAATGTAAAATTAAACTGAATTTATTAGCCAATCAGACGAACTTCTGTCTATGACCATTATGCAGCTAAACCCGGCTCGTTAATAACTCTATATATATCTGAATCATGCCAGCATCATGTGATCCTGAAATAATAATTCAAGCAAGGATAATGATTGTTGTATGAAGGATTTTAACTTAAGATTATCAAACATAAGTGCATAATTAAATTAATTCATTAAATAAGCAGATAAACAAAGTAATTTAGTCAAATGGTATACGACAATTGAATATTGAACAAGATTATTCATAGAAAACATAGATCACATAACTAGTATCATTGTACTCAAGATCTTGTTTATAAATGAAAATAAGTAATACATGATAAATAAGTCATGACCAATCAGATTTAAGATTTTGTAGACAGAAGTCATTTCAAATGTCATAGATACCATACATCATTATATTCGTTCCTAATAAAAGTTTGAAATTAATATAATAAAACATGTTATTTATACATTGATAAAAAAGAATTCATTTTCAACTAAATAAAATCTAAAAATTAATTTAAACATAATACGTATTCAAAGAAATAAATTATAATTATCTGATGAAATATCGGGGTTTCATTAGCAATAAACAATTATTTAAAAAACATTAAAACAGTTATTTTGTCATATTTAATTTTTGTAACAAAGCAACTGCCTTTGGTTGATTTTTTAAGGCAGCTAATTGAATGCATTCTTTTGCTTTTGTTTCATTAACTGGCACACCAAACCTTCCATTTAAATAAATATCGCCTAAATTGTAAAGAGCTGTGGCATTTCCATTATCAGCAGCTAATGTCATATACTTTACAATTTCTGAAACATTTTTTGAACCATTCTCAAGCAAAGTGAATGCATATCGTAACTGAGCATCAACAATACCATTATTAGCAGCATCTTTGAAAAGTTCAAGAGCAGCATTAACGTCTTTTTTAACATGGATACCATTTAATAAATAATATCCTTTCCAATATTTTGCTAAATCGTTTCCACATTCTGCATGGCCAGAAAAACATTCCCATGCAAGATCATACTTTTTTGCTTGATGTGCACTATGCCCATCTTCAAATGGCCTTAAAGTATGTATACTAGGGATGGTAGTAATATTATCCAAAGTAAGTGTTTCACAATCTTCAGGTAAATAAGTACTTTCTCTATTGTTGTTATTTGATCTTTGATTGTTGTTTATTGCTGATGTAAGATCAAAACCAGGAATATCATCACTATTACCTTTAGGACATACTTTTGGAGAAGTCCCCTTAGGAGCATAATGATCATAAAGGTTCTTGACATCTGATAGCATCTCCATGACCTTTGGACGTTGAGAAGGTTCATGATTCCATGCTTAAAATAATTAATTGCAATCTATTGATTAGATGTTAATAGATAAAAATTTATGTGTAATACAGTATCAAGAAATACCTTTTGTAATTATTTTAGCAAGTTCTTGTGGAATTGGGTTAGGATAAATAATTATGTCCATAGTTTCACGTTTATTACTCATGACATGGTCCTGAATTGCGGCTACGGTATCCATATCCTTATATGGAATTCTTTGATGACAAAGCTCCCACAAAAGCATTCCAAAACTATAATTTATAAACGTCATAAGAACAAACCAATAGAAGTAATTTTAAGATACATGTAATAATACAGTATACCTAAATATTTCACAATGATGATCATATCTTCTATTAAGATTATATCGTTTGTTCGAATCACTACTCATTTTTTCGGGGGCTAACCATCTGATTAGATCCAATATACTCTTCACTTCCAAAGATTTCTCATGTTCAGTATGACTAAGTTCAAAATTTGAAATTTTAGGTTCATAACCTTCTGTAATCTAAAGATTTTTTTTACAATGTAAATAAAAAATAATAATAAGATTTATATATATAAATAAATTTAAAACTTACCAAAATGTTTTCGCAACGAATGTCATGATGCAAAATATTACAACTATGGATAAATAAAAGACCATTACATATATCACGAGCAATTTTTAATTTAGTAGGCCAATCAATTTTATTATACGTGTATAGCTTTTTTAGATTTCCATTTTTTGCCCAATCAAACACCATAACATGATTATTATCTATTACTGAAAGACCATGAAATGCAATAATATAAGGGCAATAACCCAATTTAAGAAGAATGGCTAACTCATGTTGGTCTATTTGAGATCGCACTGTATCATTATTTTCGATAACAAGAATTTTTTTGCATGCAACTTCAACACCTCTATAAACTCTTTTAATAATATTTTTTCCAGATTCTTTACCAAGTGGATATGGTTCAAGATCATCTGGGTTTATATTAGGTGCCTTGTGACCACTATTTAATTTTAATTTTGCGATATCCTCTGTACCCATGGATCCACTTTCAGGTTTAACTATTTGTTTAGTTAGTTCACCTATATTTGTTGATAACTGAGTTAATTCTTTCATTACTAATCTGATATCAGAGCTTATATTGCCCATGTTCTATTTTCGTGATTTCAAATTTTCAGGTTAATAATTTATTAAATAAACAAATTAATCAACTAAGTTACCTTAAGTAAAATATCTATATCCTCCATAACTTTTTTAGTTTCTATTTCTCTTCGTTCATTATTATAAATAGCCAATGTAAAATGTAAATCATTACAAACGTCTTCAAATTCTTTGATGTTTTTATCAAAAGCTTCTTTAACTGTCATCGCACTTATATATTTTTGTAAACTTGATAATTGAGTAACTTCTTTAGCAAATTTTTTAATATTTCCTAAAACAGTTATAAATCTAACCCAAGCATAATAATAATTTTGATCTCGAAAGAGTTTTTCATTTGCTAATTGTTGTCTTTTTAAAGAATTTACAGCTTGTTGAGCAATTTCAACACGATCAATTAAAGCTAAACAAATTTTTTGATTACACTTTGCAGATTCGTTTGTTTGTAATAATGATCTAACAATTTCTGCAACTTGTGAAAAAAATGGAATAAATGGTTGAATTGCATCTCCGACAGTTTGAACTGTGGTAAGAGTATGACGTGTTATTTCTTGCTTAACGTTAAAGCTTCCATCATATTCACCCGCTAAATGAATTTTAAAATCTCTATCCTTAACTTCACTAGTTTTTTTAGGTGTATTTTGTGTTGCTGGATTACCATTATTAGTCTTCTCAGATTTATGAGACATAATAAAAAGTTGTGCAAAATTATGAATACATTAAGAATGACTAATGATCACCGTACGTATAAGTACATAATTTCATATGTATTACCAATACACGAATTTTAACAAAGTGAATGATCACACATAACCGAATCGGAGTTTTGAGTAGTGTAACCGTTGAATGGGAGAGAAAGAGGAGTGATAGGCCAATTTAACTTCAATGGTGTACGTTAAGAAGGATGGTTTTAGCGAATAGGTTTATATAACTTCCAAGCGTTAGTATACCAAAATAGATTAATTGCTAAGAGATTGATATCGATGCTTTACACTTAGTAATGTTATGCGATTAAAGCGCATATAATGGTGACGGTGATACCGGAGTATTAGGTGATATATTAAAGTGGTATATGTGTTTTATGCTGATTGGGTGATTTCGAGAACAGTGTTCGTAAGAGTTTATGATGTAAGAAAATCAGAAGTAGTACCGATAGCTGATCAAAATCTTTCTCTACTACAGTTTCCACAGGTACTAGGAATGGCAATATTGATTTTGTAATAGTTCTATAATTCGAGTCTTAATAAACCAAATCGAAGTTAAGTCAATTCAGTCCATTGAATTGAGTTTCGAAAAAGGTTTATTAAAGTTACAAGTCGAATTCAAAGATAGTTGACAGCAATATTTAAATAAGTATTAACATTGATATTTATTTGTATTAATAATAGGTGAAAAGGATTTTTTTTTTTTTTTTTGAAAAAAAAAAAAATTCTTTCCCGAAAATCACAAAAAATATAAGAAAAATAAACAAAAGAAAAACTGAGCAAATTTAAATAAATAAATTACTAGAATGACAAAGAAAAT